ACCATTTTTCTTTTCTTTTGAGCAGTTTCTTCCCTATTCCCTATATCCGTTGTACATTTTGGATCTTATTTACTTGTTCAGTTTCTCATACTAGTAAGACAATATGATGTTCACATGTGTGGGTCTGATTTATTTCACTTATGAATATGGTCTCAAGTTGTATCCATTTACCTATAAATATCTCAAGTTTATCCTCCTTTATAGCTGAGTAGTACTCCATTGTATAAAACACCCCACATCTTTTTTATCCACTGATGGGCATTCATGTTATTTCCAACATTTAGCTATTAGAAATTGTGCTGCTATAAATACGTGTACACATATTACTGTGGTATGATTTTTTAATTCTTTTAGGAAGATACCCAAAAGGAGAATAGGACCTCTAAACCTAGTTGTTTTCTTTTTTTAAAATTTTATTTATTTGTGTGTGTGTGTGTGTGTGTGGCCAGCTCAGCCCACCAGGGGGCGGGGTTGGCTGGCATGTGGTGCTGGGGGATTGAACCGCGGTCCCTGTGCTTTGCTAAGCTTGTTCTAAGTAGGTGCCTTAGACCACTGAGCCATCTCACCAGCCCTAAACCTAGTTTTTTGAGGAATCTCCATGCTTATTTCCACAGTGGTTGCACCAGTCTACACTCCCACCAACAGTGGAGAAGAGTTCCTTTTTCTCCCCAGTTCCCCCAGAATTTATTATTGGTTGATTTCTTAATGATAGCCATTCTTTCTGGATATGGAATCTCAGTGTTGTTTTAATTTGCATCTCTTGAATAACCCAAGTTGAACATTTTTTCATGTATTTATTTGCCATTTGTATTTATTCATTTCAGATGCCCATTTTTGGATGGGTCTTTGGATCTTTGAATTTTGGGGGCCTGATTTTTTTTTCAGTTCTTCATATGTTCTAGATAGAAGTCCACTGTCCAAGGGACAACTGGCTAAGATATCTTCCCACCTTATGGGGTTGTCTTTTCATTCTGTTGGTGATTTTTTTTTCCACTGACCAATTTAAAACACACCCTTCAAACTTATTTCTCTGTTATTTCTTTCTCTCCCTCCCTATAAGGGGAAACTGAAAAGAAAAACAAGTTGTATGATTTATTCTCAAATATTTAATTTCCATCTGAAATCCAACTACATACTTATACTTAGAAACAAAAGCAAAATCATACTGAAAGTTTCAGAGCCAGGCTTGGTAACACATGCCTATAATCCCAGTACCCAGAAATTCTGGGCATGAAAATTATGAATTCAAGGCCAGCCAGCGCTTCATAGCAAATTCAAGGTAAGTCTGAACTCTAGTGAAATCCCATCGCAAAAACCGAAAGAAAGGGCCAGGGAAATGGCTCAGCAGAATAAGCGCTTGACTGGTAAGCGCAAGGGCCTGAGTTCAATCCCCGTGTCTTAGTTACTCTTCTCTCTTTGCTGGGACAAATACCTGACACCCAAAATTAAGGAAGGAAAGGTTTATTTAGCTCACAGTTACTGGCGATTGCAGTCCATATTCAGCTGTCTACAAGGCAGAGGGGCACAGGGCAGAGAGCAGCACTTCATGGCAGCTGAACAGCAGCAACAACAACAACAGGAGCAATGGCTACAGAAAGTCTGTCTCTCTGTCTCTTATATTACATTCAGGCTCTCTGCCCCAGGCTATGGGAAGTACTCACACCCATAATCCTAGCAGTACTAAGACCCATAATCCCAGGCTTGGATCATACATAATCCCAGTGGATCATGAGTTAATCACAAACTCTAGAAGTCCCCACCCCATGGCTGCATGAGGCACTGGGGGAACAACTAGGCACAAACCATAACACCCCGGTTCCGAAAAAAAAATTATTTAAAAAGTAACACAGCAAAAAATTACAAAATAATATTAATAATAATATAACCATATTCAAGACTATGACATGGGTAAGTTTTTACTCAGCTTCTCTATTTTTCACATCTTGCCACAACAGTTGCATTAAGATCTAATTTATTTCACAAAACACTTCATTTAAACTAATACTTCAAAGTTATATCCCAAGATACGGTAAAAAGTGTTGCTTACATAAAATTTTAAAATGCTTAAAAAAAAACCCCAAAAACTGAAAGAGAGAGAGACAGACAGACAGAGACAGAGACAGAAAGACAGAGACAGAGAGACAAAGACAGAGGATCCGAGGGAGAGAGAAAAGCAAATTAAAAATGTTTTGGTTTAGATCAGTCCAAAATTAATTACTAATTTATGGATGATTTATTTCTTCATATTGCTTTTTGATCCTAAAACTGATATGTTTTCTATTAAGGAATATGAAAATTATTTCATGCTAGCATAACATTTAGAGATTATCAGAAAGAGTGACATACTATGCTTGCAGTTTGGTTGCAACCAAAATCATAGAATCAGTTCTGCAACCAGAATCATGGAAAGAATGAAGTTCAACAACCAAAGTACCTCTGTATTTAGCATTTTTATGATGTACTTTAACGTACAGATTATGAGAAAGAGACATATCTTCCATCTGTCACAAAAAATAAAGCTATAAGGAATGGTTTTACCCCATACTTAGGGTAGTGATTGACATAGAATAAGTGAAACATATCTTACAATTTTATTTTCCAAACAAAAAGGAACATGAAACACGGAAGTAAAAAATTAAAATTAGATTTGAAAAATAATATCTTGCAAGGAAATTTGTTGCTCTTTTTGTTTGTTTTCAGCCAGCTCAGCCTGCCCTGAGTACAGCATGTGGTGCTGGGGATCGAACCACCCTCCTCCTGCCTAAGCTTGCCTAAACAGGTGCTTTAGACTGCTGAGCTATCTCACCTGCCTTTTTGTTTTGTTTTGTTTTTTTAAACTTGTGGTTCTTTACACTTTCCAAATGAAATCTGCTATTATAGTGACAAATCAACAGTAGTCACAATGCAGCTTTTCAACAAACAGTAAAATTTTGAAAAATTGAAGAATTTTGGATAAATTTATTTAATACAAAGGAAAAAGAAGGAGCCTAATATTAGCTTCTACTATAAGATGGTACCTTTAAAGACACAAGAAACAAAAGAAGTGAAAGTAGAGTATCTAGTAATCGAGAAAAGAACTGAATTGATTAGAATAATACTATAGTTATTTAAATATACATATTTATTTGGTACATAGTCTCACTAAGCAGCTCATACTGATAGTGATCCTCCTGTTTCACCCTTCCCTTACAGGCACGCACCACCACACCTGGTTTCAGTGGCCAGCACAGCATGTGGTACTGGGGATAGAACCAGGGTCCTCGCGCTTGGCAGGCTGGTGCTTAGACCACTGAGCTATCGTCCCCTTAAATAGACATATTAATTAACAAGTGGGTTTGTCTTTTTTCCTCCAACATATTTCTATAAGTTAACAGAAAAGTTAAAACAAAAACAGGTTGGAGAGATAGCTCAATAGCTCAGTGGCACAGCACCTGGTTGGCAAGTACAAGGTCCTTAGTTTGATTCCCTATGTTAAAAAAACAAAAAAAGTTTTACACTTTGTTCCTTTGAGCTTCTTCAAGGCCAAAGTATTTGGCATTGAAAGAGCAAATTCAAAGAGCAAATTCATTTGAGATGCAACATGGTATAAATCTTCAACTTCAAAATATATTTTGTTTTAGTTATTACTTTTATAGGGATACCTTAGAATTACTAGTCTTTCCTCTACAGATTTCTTTTCTCAATTGGTATCTAGCCAAAAGTTAATGGCTTACATAAGTAAAAATCACAAAACATACTGAAATTAAAATGGAAAATGGATTAGCACAATGGTCTTGAAGAACTGATTCATCAATTAGAATTAGCATTCTCTGTATGAAATAATTTAATAAAGAAAAAAGCTACAATAGCTAGAGCAACCATTGAATCAAACTTTACCATCCAAATGACGTTCTCCATAAGAGCTCTCTGGAAACAAGCCTCTTAGGTACGTTATACATGAGATAGAAGTAGCAAAAAGTTTCTTCACCATTATCAATGATTCGTGTTCATTAGTGATTTGAGATGGGAAAACTGTTCCCTGGGGAAAAAACAATAGCAAAAACATTAGTAGTTTTCAATATATTCATTACATCACACTATCATATCACACAGAAAGGAAAGATTTTTCAATACTTCGAATGATGCCTTTACAGGTAATCAAAAGGAAATTGAGCTTTAAAGGCTACATTAAAGTAAAATCACAGGCAAGGCAGAGCAGAAAGACAGAGACAATTACCCAAGTAATTAAAGAGTAAAACAATTTATTTCACAATGACTTATAGATTGAAGTAAAATTGAGGGCCTACTGTCTTAGTTACTCTTCTCTCATTGCTGGGAAAATACCCGATGCTCAAAATGAAGGAAGGAAAGGTTTATTTAGCTCACAGTTACTGGAGGTTTCAGTCCATACTCAGCTGGCTCCAAGGCAGAGTGGCACACGGCAGAGAGTAACCTTTCATGGTGGAGGCAAAGAGCAAGAGAACAAATGGAGGAGCAGCAGCAACAATGCTTTCAGAGAGGAAGTCTGTCTCTCTTATATTGCATTCAGGTTCTCTACCCCAGGCTGGGGGAAGTACACACACCCATAATCCTAGCAGTACTAAAACCCATAATCCAGTCTTGGATCACACATAATCCCAGTAGATCATGAGTTAATCACAAACTCTAGAAGTGTCCACCCCATGACTGCATGAGGCTTTGAGGGGACAACTAGACACAAACCATAACACCCACTATTATGACATAATCTCTTTCCTCTCATACAGTCCTCAGCCTTCACACAATATGGGTTTTACACACCTGCATTTTACATTATTCTCTTAGTTATCAAATACACTCCATTATTGCCTCTCCTCCTCCTCTTCCTCCTCCTCCTCCTTCTCCTTCTCTTCCTCCTCCTCCTCTTCCTCTTCTTCTTCTTCCTCCTCCTCCTCTTCCTCTTCCTCTTCTTCTTCAACATGTAACTTCTTTTCAGCATTTGACACTGTTGCTCACACAATCTTTTTTCTTTCTCCTCAAGCTGTCACACTATTATTTTAATAACTTTAGTCATAGTTGGAAAAAATACCAATGTCCAAAATTTATTTATTTTTTAAGCTTTTCATTATTTATTTGGTACAGGGTCTCACTACACAGCCCAGACTCATAGGGATCCATCTGTCTTAGCGTCCCATACTGGGATTACAGGCATGTGCCACCATGCCTGGTTTCAGTGGTTGGCATGGTGCATCTGGAGTTCCAGGGCCAGCACAGCATGCAGTACTGGAGATTGAGCCTGGATCCTTGTACTTGCTGGGAAGGTGCTTAGACCATCCAGCTATCTCCCCAGCCCCGATGCCCAAAATTTATTTTTTTTTTAAATTTTATTTATTTATGTGTGTGTGTGTGTGTGTGTGTGGCCAGCTCAGCCCACCAGGGGGCGGGCTGGCTGGCATGTGGTGCTGGGGGATCGAACTGTGGTCCCTGGGTTTTGCTAAAGCTTGTTCTAAGTAGGTGCTTTAGACCACTGAGCCATCTCACCAGCCCCCTGATGCCCAAAATTTAAAGGAGAGGTTTTGCAAGGAAATATTGCTCATGTCATGGTGGTTGGGATGCAGAAAGTCAAGGTACAAGCTTGGGAGACAGAAATGCCCTTCCAGATTATGCCCCAGTTACCCACCTCTTCATACCAGGCCCTACTTCCCAATACCATGCCAGCTGCAGTGACCCCATAATCCAATCACTGTCTAAAATCTTTGCCTATGGATTTTTTTTTTTTTTAACTTTTTAATGTATTTGGTACAGGGTCTCACTACACAGCTCAGACTCATAGTGATTCTCCTGTTTTCAGCCTTCCCAGCACTGGGATTAAAGGCATGCACCACCATACCCATCCCAAATCAGTGGCCAGCTCAGTGCACCCGGGAGCAGGGATGACACAGCGGAATGTGCCTATGGCTTTGGGAGCACATCTGATATAAACCATAACAAGTTTTATTGTTGTTTTGGTAGTGCTGGGGATCAAATTCAAGACCTGAAACATACTAGGCCACTGAGATACACCCCACTCCACTATTTTGGTTTCCACTAACCCTATATTCCCAGCTCAATTTTTTTCTTTTGCTCTTTTCTTCCTCCTTCCCTCCCTCCCTCCCTTCCTTCCTTCCTTCCTTCCTTCCTTCCTTCCTTCCTTCCTTCCTTCCTTCTTTCTTTTTGTTGTTGTTGTTCTGCCCTTTAAATGTTGGTTTTCCATTTTCTGGTATCTTCTTTGATCTTTATTATCAGAATATTGTAATTTCCAATATATATCCTTTACTTCCTTTGTTAGATTGATTCTTAAGTATTTTATTTTTTTGGATGCTATCATGAAGGGTGCAAGTTTCCCTAATTTCTCTCCCCGTGAGTTTCTTGTTTGTGTATAGGAATTCTATTGAGGGGCCGGGGAGATGGCTCAGTAGAATAAGCACTTGTCTGGCAAGGAATGCTATTGAGTTTTGAGTGTTGACTTTGTATCAGCTATGCTACTAAATTTGATTATTAAATCTACAAGTCTTTTGATGTAGTTTTTGGGGTCTTCTATATAGAGTATCATGTCATCTGCAAATATAATAATTTTACATCTTCCTTTCTTATCTTTATTCCTTTTATTTCTCTCGTCTAATTGCTCTGGCTAATGTTTCCAAAACTATATTGAATAGGAGTGGTGATAGTGGACATCCTTGTCTTGTTCCCCTGATTTTAGAATGAAAGCTTTCAGTGTTTGTCCATTTTGTATGATATTGGCTATTGTTTGTCATAGATGTCTTTTGTCACACTGAGATAAAGACCATCTATCTTTATTTTCTGTAGGGTTTTTATCATGAATGAGGGTTGGACTTTGTCAAAAAGCTTTTCTGGAATCTACTGAGGTGATCATGTAATTTTTGTCTTTGGCTCTGTTGATATGGGGTATTATATGTATTGATTTGCATATGTTGAACCATTCCTGCAATTCCTGGGATGAATCCTACTTGGTCATGGCATATGATTTTCTGCATTCTGTTTGCCAGTATCTTACTGAGGATTTTTGCATCTATGTTCATTAGGGAGATTGGCCTGTAGTTCTTTTTTATTTGGTTGGTTTTTTTTCTGGTTTTGGTATCAGGGTAATACTTGCCTCCAGAAATGAGTTAGGAAGTATTTCTTCCCTTTCAATTTCAGGAGAGGTTTATTTTTTGTTTTTGGTGCTGAGGACCAAACTCAGGACTTCCAGTTTGCTAGGCAAACATTCTACTACTGCTGAGCCAATTCTCCAGCACCATGAGTTTAGTTTTCTTTTCTTTATCTTGTGGTACTAGGGAAGGAACTCAGGACCTTGCACTTGCCCAGCAGGCACTTATGCCACTGAACTTCTCCCAGGACCTCCTTTCAATTTCATTAAAGAGTCTGAGGAGTATTGATATTAAATGTTCTCTAGATTGCTTGCAGACTTTAGCACTGAATTCATCAGGAACTTAACCTTTCTTTGTTGGGAAGTTTTAAATTACATTTTCAACCAAGAACCAACATAGTGAAAAACAGCCATACTCCAAAAATTGTTACACAGATGTAATGCAATCTCAATCAAAATGCCATTAACATACTTCACAGAACTAAGAAGAACATCTCTAAAATTCATGAGGAACCAAAAGAGACACAGAATAACAAAGGTAATCCTTGGCTACAAAGGCAAGGCAGGAGGCATCACAATCTCCGATTTGAAATTATAATATAAAGGTACTATGACAAAATTAGCATGGTACCGGCAAAGGAAAAAAAAAAACCCAAAACAATGATAACAAACAAAAAACAGACCTTATCCCCAGTGGAACAGATTAGAAGATGCAGACATAACAACAAACACACTCCACCAACTAATCTTTGACTAAGAGGCCAAACATAGTCACTGAAAGAAAGATAGCTTCTGTAATAAATGGTGCTGGAAAAACTGGCTCTCTACCTGCCAAAGACTAAAACTAGATCAATGTCTATCACCATGTACTAAATTAAGGCCAAAATGGATCAAAGATATAAATATTAAAAGAGAAATAAAAAACCTACTGGAAGACAAAGTAAGTAGAAATCTTGAAAACATAAGCGTAGGTAGAGAGTTCATGAACAAAACCCAGACTGCATGGGAAATACTTCAAAGGAACAACTTGGATCTCATCTTACTAAAAAGATTTTGCACAGCAAAAATCAGCAGAGTGAAAAGACAACCCATGAAGTGGGAAAAAATCTTAGTCCCTCCTTCCCCAAAAAATCTTAGTCCCTTAATCTTTGTCTGTCCCTCAGACAAAGGATGTCTATACAGAACATATAAAGAATAAAAAAAAAAAACAAGCCCCCAAATCCAAGACCCAATCTAAAAATGGGTTTCAGATGAGCATGCTCTTCTCAGCTGAAGAAATACAAACAGCAACTAAATAAATGAAAAAAATGTTCAACATCATTGGTCATTTGAGAGATGCAAATTAAAACCACACTGAGATTCTATCTCACTCCAGAAAGAATGGCTATCATCAAGAAATCAACCAGGAACATACGCTGGAGGGGCTGTGGGGAAAAAGGAAACTTCTCCACTGTTGGTGGGAGTGTAGACTGGTGCAACCACTGTGGAAATCAGTGTGGAGATTTCTCAAAAAAGTAGGATTAGGGGCTGGGGAGATGGCTCAGTGGAATAAGTGCTTCCCTAGCAAGTACAAGGGTCTGAGTTCAATCCCCGGTTCCGCCAAAAAAAAAAAAAAAAAAAGTAGGATTAGAGATTCCATTTAATACAGCTGTTTCCCTCCTGGGTATTTTCCCAGAAGAATTAAATACATTGTACCACAACAATATATGTGTATCCATGTTTATAGCAGCTCAATTTGTAATAGCTAGATGTTGGAAACAACCCAAATGCCTATCAACTGAGGAACTGATAAAAAGATGTGGTTTTTTAAAAAAATACAATGAAATACTACTCAGCCATAAAGAAGGATAAATTGAGACATTTATAGGTAAATGGCTGCAATTTTAGACCATAACTCATGTGAGAAGCTG